TTCTTTAATGTTGTTAATTACAACATTTTATTTTTAAAGTATAACTAATTATTTGGTCACACTTTATTTTGATTGATATGATTACATTGCATTTACATGCCAACTATATCTCATTAGATTATAAGTAGACTGTTAGGTTCAAGTAGGTATCGCTGCAGCCCGGAGACCTGCAAGTGGGAGGGATTACACCGCAATTAGGTTGGGTAACCTCCAAGTGGGAGGGACTTAAACCACAAGTAGGTTGGGTTTATCAGGTTACTGTGAAGTTAGGTTTAGGGTTGGGTTTAGGGTTGGGTTTAGGTATAGACGTTCATAAAACACAACAGGTTACTGTGAGGTTGGGTTTAGGGTTGGGTGTACACATTCATAAAGCACAATAAAACTCTAAATACGACTAAATAAGGTTTGCACAGCCCACTTGGAGCTCCAAAGCCCACCCTATTGGAGCTGGCTCCAACCCCTGTTTATACCCTTCTCGTTAGGTTGGGGTTAGGCTTAGTGTAAGTTGATATGTACTTAAAATGTTTCTTATTGTCAATTAAATGTATGTTGACGTAGCAATATCAACATATATTAAGCAGACAGTCTACTAATACTCAAATGGACCACCAAAATAAAGTGTTACCAATTATTTTAAGTTCATGTCATGTGATTTTTGTTTAACAATGTTAAATAAACCTTATTGTATAGTGTTACTAGAAATTGCAAGTAAAGAAAAGTGTAAAAAAATCATCAGCTGTATCAAATATTATGTTCTGTGTTACAGTGAAGAGATACGGTATTCTAATTATCACACTTTCAAGATAATTGCATTTTCCAATGTAGAACATTTCACTAAACCTCATAGATAAATAAACAAATTGTACCGTAATGTTTAGTCAAACCCGTATGACTTATTTTCCACTGTGGAACACAAATGCTTATGCATTATTAACCAAAATGATAATAAAATATTTTTTTAATTACTTGCTCCATGTGTAATATCAAAACTTTTTACATTTATCATTTGTGTTTCATTCGTTATCCACAGAGGAAAAAATAATATGGGTTTGAAGCAACACAGAAGAGAATTAATTATGAATATTCAGTTCATGAGTAAACTAATTCTCTAATAGAACTTGTTAAAGATTTAATATTCAGCTGTTGTACCTTTATTGGTTGCTGCTGTAGTTTTCAGAAATGGTTGTAGTGATGTTAGATTTATAGTTTTAATAGTTAGAACTATAAAAAACACATACGGACAATAATCAATTGGTACAATTTGTTTGGACTGAAGCCTTTTTCCCCCTGCTGTTTTTGCAATGGTAGCGGCCTGGATTGCTGTAGTCTGTATTGAGCACTTTCTGTTGCTTTGCTGCATGTTTTAGTACTGGAGTATCTTTAGGAATAATAGGTTATCTGTGATGGTGCATTATAGATAGGTGTTTCTATTAGCTCTAGTTATCTGGAAGGGCAAATGCTTCGAAGCCAGAACATTTCTAACTATGAATGATGCAAAAGTGTTCATAGAGGACCAAAGCAAACATTGTAAAAACAGAAATAACTGGAGAAAATGTCTATATTTTGAAAATTTTTGTCCTCCATGTTTTGTAACCATCCTGTTTTCATTTCCAAGTCTTTGCCTTTCCCGTTTGAACCGTTTAAACTGTTTAAACATGTTTTCTATGTAACAATAGATGCATGCATAAGATTGAATCTTTAGTTTTTTTATTAGATTTTTTTAAAGTTTCATTTATCTTCCATTTAATAAAAATGTATAGTTTAGATTGAAATTAGATAATTATACATATTTTTTACTATTATTTTGTGTCACATTTATTTTGCTTAGTCTGTTCTTTGTTTTATTTATTTATTTATTTATTTATTTATTGTTTATTTATTTATTTATTTATTTACTCTTGGATTGCCAGGCTTTAAAAGTGTCTGTCAGATAATATTTTGATCTGATTTGGCGAGAGTTGTGGCAGACACACTCTCATTCCATGGCCAGCCAATGAGGGACAGAAAAATTCCACAAATCAGATTCACAACACACACACAACTGTTCAGATCCTATTACCTGCAGCCTACTGTAGCATACAGTGGCATAGACAAGTGGTTTCTCTCAAATATTCTGGGTCAAATGCAGTTTAAAGTTTACGGATTGATGTACATACTGCCAATATGCATTTTCATTTTAACTATGTAGTACTTTGCATGTGCTAAATTCGAATAATAAATTCAAAATTATTAATACAATGGAATAAAAAAACAAATTTGACTTATTAACACAAACGGTAATAGCATTTCTATTTTTAATGACTATTAAATACCGCATGGCTGTACATATAAAATGACAGTGTTGTTTTAGTTTCATTGATATGCCGTTATAATATATATATATATATATATATATATATACACACATTTCATTCTTTTCTATGTGATTTGTTTAATTAATTATTATTATTATATATATTTTTTATATATCAGTGTATTTTTAATACATTCTTTATTTTGTTTTTGGTTGTGGTAATTGTTTTTATTCCCTTTCACTGATTTTATTTTATTTTATTTGACTTTCAATTTAAGTTTTGGTTATTTTATTTAAAAAAAATATATTTTTTATTTTATTTTATTTTCGTCCGCTTTTCTGGGGCCAGGTCATAGGGGCAGCAGCCTTAAAAGACTTCCCTCTTCCCAGACACTTACTCCAGCTTCTATGGAGAGATCTGAGGCGCTTACAGGCCAGCCAAGTGACATATTCCCTCCAACGTGTCCTGGTTCTTCCCCACAGCCTCCTCCCAGTGGGACATGCCTGGAACACCTCCCTATGTTGGTGTCTAGGAGGCATCTGAAACAGATTCCTGAGCCACCTAAGCTGACTTCTCTCAATTTTGAATAGCGGCTCTACTACGAGATCCTTTCGGGTGACATAGCTCCTCACCTTACCTATAAGAGTGCGCCCTGCCACCCTGTGAAGTAAACTCATTTAGGCCACTTGTATTCAAGATCTTGTCCTTTCTGTCATGACCCAAAGCTCAGGACTATAGGTGAGATAGGAACGTAGATTGACTGGTAAATTCAGAGCTTTGCTTTTCGGCTTAGCTCATTCTTTACCACAACGGACTAGTACATCGACCATACCATCCTTCTCTAACTCATGAATGAATGAAATCCCCAGATACTTGAACTATAAAAATTATGAAAAGAGTTGGTGACAACGGGCAGCCCTGCCGGAGTCCAACATGCACTGGAAACAAGTCTGATTTATTGCCGGCAATGTGAACCAAACTTCTATTCTGTTAAGGGCTATCTCAACCCTGCATAAACAGAGCGCCTCTGACCCCATACTCCCAGAGCACATTCCACAGAATGCCAAGAGGGACACAGTCGAATGCCTTCTCCAAATTCACAAAACATATTTTATTTTATTTATTTTTATTTTATTTTTTTTATTTTTATTTTTTTTATTTTTTTATGTTATTTTATTTTAATTTAATTTTATTTAATTTAATTTAATTTTATTTTATTTTATTTTATTTTATTTTATTTATTTTATTATTATTATTATTATTATTAACATGGCAAAACAGTGTGTACTCTATAATTCATACTATAGTACCTCGCACCATAGCATAACGTTTTTGCAAACTGAAATTAACCTAATAAAACTGTATTTAACCTGGAGTATTGAGTGCAACAAAAACCTCTTAAAAACGCATCAAACTAGATCAAGTCATTTCTTAGAATTAGTTAGATTTTTGTATTTATTTAGTGGTGAATTTAGCTAATGGTTAGAGATGAAGATGTTGCTTGATTTTAGTTGGTGTTTGCTGTTGCTGTAGCTGCTCTGGGAAAGATCTGCCAAGCATGTGAATCTGCACAAATGGCATAGCGAGGCATCTGCTGGCCTAGACTGGAGCCTTTGAGGTGAGCTCACCTCACAGATCTCCTCACAAAGCTCATGTCTCTCTGCAGGTCAAGCTGTGGTACGATAAAGTAGGACATCAACTCATCGTCACTATCCTGGGCGCCAAAGACCTGCCTCCACGAGAAGACGGCCGGCCTAGGAATCCATACGTCAAAATCTACTTCCTCCCCGACAGAAGGTACATACTTGGTGAAGTACAGATATACAGTGGTCAGCATATATAAGTACACTCCTCACAAATCTATCTTTCAAATTCATATTTCAAAAGGAAGCTATACAATATTATATTTGTGCAAATACATTAGATTAGCCAAATCTGGAGCTTATCTATTAAAATAACTTATGATGGCAGTCCACTAGTACATCCAAGCAAAAAATGGAAGCAAAAAATGTTATAATGCAATTTTTTGCTTGAATTTAATCGTGTTATTTACATTATTTATTATTCAAATATATTTAGTGGCTAAAATAATATTTGAATAAATATAAGATAATACAAAATACAAAATAAGATATTCTGTTTAAATGCATGAAAATACAGTGCCTATATTCACTGAGAAATGAATAAAAATATTTATTTTCAAATTAGGGTGTACTCAATTATGCTTACCTCTCACTCACAGTTTTTCATTTTTAAAAAGACATTTAAAGGGTTTGTCTTGTTGCTGATCACAAGAGAATACACAAAATAGTAATATAATATAAAATACATGAATTGAAAATATCTGTTCTTTCTTTTGCATAAAATGAAAATTGGTCCAAATAATACATTATATTATTATATTATTATTATATGATATTTAAATAATGCAAAGATATTTTCAGACATTTTTTAAATAGAATTATAAACACATTATTATTATTATTATTATTATTATTATTATTATTATTTTAAAAGTGTTTGGTGAAATGGTCATGATTTTCATTTACAATAAATAAAACATTTGACCAGTTATAATTTTCTGCACAAATAAGTTGGCAAATATTTTGTATTTCCAAGTTCTAAAATGCTACCAGACCTTTAGAA